TGAAATAGAAAAAACTATGAGTAAAATATTATCTAGGAAAGAGAAATGATTTTTATTTTACCGAATCTTTTAAAATTTAATTTTTATAAGACATAAATAATATCTTGTAAATTTTAACGAATATTTAAATAATATTATAACATCCGAGATGTATTAATTTATTTTTGGAGATTTTTACTTTTTATTCACACCACCAAACCAATACACTTTTGTCTTTATTTATTATTATTATTTTCTTACTCGTCATAATATTTTATTATAAAATTTTGTTTTCTATAATAATAAGCTTAATTTATGAATTATTGATTTTAATTTACCAACAATGTTAATGACAAAAAGTAATAATATGAAAATTGTATACAACAACTAAAGTTATGAATTATAATCAAGTAATATCTTATATTTTATGTAGATGGTATTGTAACAACATTCGTATCCTATATCACATGTAATGTAAGTAATCATTTTGTATTTTAGGCAGTTGATGTTTTTATTTTATCTAATAAAATAAGAATATCTTTTAAAACAATAACAATAATATCTTTTTTATGTTAGGAATGTTTTTTAATACAACCTTCTCGCGTCATGTTAGCGACAACTTAACAACCTAAAACAATATTCCATTATAAAAATCAATATACTCAAATTATAAAATACAAATGTATTTGTATTGGTGAAAAAAGTTGTTACTTTAATTATGTATTCAACTTACGTCATTTATTATTTTAATCATTTAATATATATATATACACACACATATAAGGGCTTAACAACCTTAAATTTTGTGAGATCCGTGAGATTCAATATAAATCATTCACCTGAGATAATTGTGGTACTTATTAAATATAAATAAAAGCTAATTTAGTCAACTCGTAAATGCATTTAATTAATTTATTCTCCCAATAAATATAAAATCTATAACTTCCATAAATAAATAAAAAACCCATAATTTTTCAAATAAAATATTGATTAATTGTTCACAATGTGTATCAAAGTCCTTAGACAATAGTTCTAGGGATTTTTTTGTTTTTGTTTTTAGTTTTTAATGTCAATGTGTTTCATTGTATTCACAAGATTATCACAATGTAGCTAAGACAATACTTTTATTATTWTTTTTTTATGATTTTCTTTACTGTTTTTTCTAGCCCTAAACACAGATGATTTGATAATTTAATGGCGAACGAAGATAGCTAAGACTG